TTCCACAGCCTGCAACAAAGAAACAGGTAAAGAGTTTTTGGGAATGACATCCTACTGCAGACAGTGGATCCCAAATTGTGCTGAAACTGAGGCACCATTGGCATCAATGCATGATGGGAAAGGCCTCAATGCAAAAGGCAAAGTCCAATGGACATCAGAAGCTGAGAAAGCTTTTGTTGACTTAAAGCTAGCTCTTCAGACTCCTGTGACATCGGCCTACCAGTCTGTAACAAGACATTCACACAGACTGTTGACAAACAGGGGTTAGTTGACTTCAGTACTAATCCAGGACCATGGGGGACGACAAAGACAAAGAGAAAAGGCTGTGATAGCATTACGTGACATTTTTGGTTACACTGACCTGACTTTACTGGTTACACATGTTGACAAGTGTCAATGATTCTACTTGAACAAAAGATTATAATTTTTCAACAGCAATGTAATAAGATACTATCACCAAAGTTAAAATATAAAATTGTTATTAACTCTGCTAATTTCCTCCAAACTCCAGGTGATGGACAGCTGCATGAACGTGTTGTAACACAAACAAATTGCTATCTGAAAATGTAAAATAAAACACACTAACAAACTTGATTCTATCTCACAGGGCAATACGAGTGCTGACATAGCTGCGAAGGCCGCAGCCAAACAATGTATTGCTTTGACTAACTCACCATTAACACCTACAGTTAATTTGCAGGAATTGCAGGCAACAGAGGATCTCCAGAGAAGAACGCTTTCATTCACTAACAAAGTGTGGCAAGTGCCATTTACCAAAATATCTATTTCCCTACTATCATAGGTTGACACATGGGAAGGACCAAGTGTCAAAAGGGGGTATGGTGAGGGAAATACAGAAATATAGTTTCACAAAGGTTCTCTAATTTCTCCCATAAATTTAGCCAAAGTTGTGTTATTTGTGTATGTCTCACAAACTGATTTCATCTAGTGGGGGGAAGAAATATTGTCTCAATATGATATGTTGATATGTTTTTAAGATGCAACAGTAGTTGCAAAGGCGCTACATCAAAGAAGAAAAAATTTAAAATCAAGGGATAATCTTTCATAAGTTCAGCACTAAAAAGTGTAGGCATGAGACAACATCGTGCCTAACAAAAAAGAGAAAATGGCACATTAAATAATTTATATTAAAGTATTTCTGGTTCTGATCCTGATTCTGATTAGAAAACAAATTTGTAAACTGTTGCATAGGAACAGATTTGACATGGACAAAAAGCACTACTAATTGTTTTAATGCACACAAGGGCCAGCGTAAGGAACAGAAGTGGTCTCAGCCCATTTGAAATCCTATTTGGGAGACCACTAAACACTGGGATTGGTCCTGTTTAAAAGTAAACTCCCTGACACCGGTCAATGGGAAGATGAAATGCTGTGTTATTGTGCAAACATGTCCCCTGTGCTTATCCACAAGCAGCTGAAAGAAGCCATACCAAAGGCTGTTGAGAGGCGATGGGATCGTGATGAAGTTACTCCTCACAATGGAAACAGCAGTAAAGGTCCCTGAGAGAGCAACTTGGATCCATAGCAGCCACTGCAGACTCCAAGAACTGAGATCAACGCCAAGCGTGCATCAAAATCAGGAAAGCCAAAGAATAGGGCAAAAAGGGAGGTGCTACTAGGGGTGGGCGATATATATCGTTTGCGATAATATCGTCATTGTTGTTTTGACGATGTGCAAATTTCCATTATCGAGTATTTCAATTACTTCCACAAATTACGCACGCGGGAACTCCTCACATCCACTTAATACACGGTGCAGCAACGCTCTCTACAGCATGGCAGGATTCAGTCACAGGGACTAGTAGGCCTATGTGATCACATGACGTGATCACATGACCTCTCGCTAGCATCCTCCTTGCAACAGTTTAGCAGCGCGTTGTGATGGTAGAGAGAAAATGCAAGCACCTCCAGTCCCTGAAGCTACCAGTACTTCAGATGATTTAGTGCCGATACAAATCCTATGAGCTTCAGCGTCCAGAGCGCTCAGCGCCTTCAGCGGTAAAAAGATGTCAGCGGAGACAGTTTTTTAGCGCAGCGCTCAGAGCGCTTCAAGTTGAAATCTGTTAAACTTTTAACACCGCTGGGCGCTCGGGAAATTAGTTTTTGAGCGCTCTCAGCTCTAAAAACGCATTTGGTGGACACAAGCCCTAACTTAGACAATTTCAATCACATTTTAAAGGATATCGACTGATTATCGTTATCGCCAAAATCCCCAAATATATTGATATTTTTGCCCATATCGCCCACCCCTAGGTGCTACCAGCATCCCTGTTAGTCCAACCAAACCTGAGACAGCGTGTCTGGGTAGACAGCTGCATCAAACAAAGAAACCAGTCCAAAGAGCGAGGGGTGAAACAGCGCCCTCCTCCACCAGTAGCATGCCAAGCTCCAACAAAGTGACGTGCAGAGTGAAGCTCTGTGTCACCTACGAGGGATCAGCGATGGAACCCAGATCCCCGAGAACGTTTCAGATCACCATAATGACTTCCTGCATGAAGAGGAAAGTAAGGACTGTCGGGCTTCAGAAGGATGGAGCATATGTGCCTGACTGACCACAGGCGAATTTTAGAATACACTGGTAAAAGTGTTAAGACCGTTTACTATCCCTTACACTAAAGCTCTAATTATCACTGTGGTTAAATCTTTGCTAGTATATGTGTGAATTCCAGCAAGAATCTCCACATATTTAGAATAAATTAGATTGTTTAAGATTTGGATAAAGTGTAATCTGATTTTTTTTTCTTATTTATATTCCTTATTTTTCCTATCTTTGTAAAATCACTCATGATTATATCACATAGATTTGTTATACATAACCAAAATGACTGCTAATGATAAAAAACTCTTGAGTGATTTTTTCCTATCATCCATGGATGTTTTGACTGTTTGTTTAGTTCTTAAAAAATATTTTGTGAGCATAAAAAATGCTCAGAGGGAGGAATGTAATGGCAATTTTTAAGAACCTATACAATCCTTTGACCTGGTCATTGTAAAACCATATGCAACTGTTAAAGAGGATATTATATGCATATAACCTTTAGCCCTGTTTCTAACTACACTCTATGTCCAAGTAAACAGCGGGATGTTGAGACTTCACTAAGAAGCCAAGGACATGATCATCTCACCACACTATCTGTCTGTTTACTGTCCCAGAACTCAGGAATGTGTAACTGTGTGCTTCAACAGGAATAAAACCAAACTGCTTCTGCCAATCGAGGCTCTTCGGAGTTTCACATATGGGAGTGTGTGACGGTTGCGTTGAGACCATTCATGGGTGACTTGAATAAAACCTTACAGAAAGACAAGATCATACTTTGCATACTTTTTTAAACAAATTGCCACCACAGGCTATAAACTAAACTTGACAAAAAGTTTGCTTTTTGCTGTTAACCAATTAGCCATGGATCTTAACTACACCCAATTCCCATTTCAGGTTGAATCAATGTATTTTACTTATCTTGGAGTTCAAATTACGTTCTTTCAAAGCACTGTTTAAATATGATTTTAGCCCCTTAATGGATTGAACTAAACAGGACACTTTGGTCAACTCTACCCATTTCTCTTGCAGGCCATATAAACTATGTTAAAATGGCATTACTGGCTAGATTTTTTGCTTTTTATTCAAATGATTCAAATTTTCTTTTACCAAAATAGATGATTTCAACTTTTATCTGGAACATCCAGGGGTTTATCACCATCCAATTGTTTATACTACTGGGCTGCAAACATCAGTAAATTGTCAATCTGGCTTTCCACATTACGGACAGGTGAAAGCCCTGTCTGGTCTACTATGGAATTACATTAAAGCTTACCAGTCTCACCTATATCCTTGATCTGTTCACCCTTTAAATTTTTTTCTTTTTAAAAAAAAAAAAAAATATCTTGAGTGTGAATAACCTACATGTTACCTTTGTACAGTACAGCTGCCTTTTCTGTAATTGTTCAATTCAATTCAATTTTATTTGTATAGCACCAATTCATAACGGAAGTTATCTCAGGACATTTTTGGTAGGCATTGATGGCGATTTCATTCACAATGCGAGTTGAAACTTTCAACTACTTGCAAAATAATGTCGTCTACAACACTGAAACCTGCCATTTTACACCTCTGCAACTACACAAGACGTTGTATTGTTTCCAAAGCAGCAACTCTCTTTATTTCTCTCACTTTTCTGGAGCACAGCTCCTGTTTTCAGTTGTAACAATTAATATGTCCAAGTCAAGTCCAGTCAAGTTTGTTTAACTACCTAACAGTATTTTGCTATGTTAGATAGCCAGCAGTTTGTCTGCGTTAGCAAAAAGCAAGCAAACATTAGCCAGTTAAAAGCACAATAAGACAATATATTCCACAAGCTTTGACTTTGGACTTGTGTGTTGTGGTGGGTGTCAGGAGCACACGTAAACATCACATCCTTTATATTTTAGCAGAGAATCCAACCTGCTCTCCTACATCAAAACACATATAAATAAATCCAAAGGCAACAGAGAAGGTCTAATTTTTTAAAGTTACATTACAACCTGTTCACTCATTAGCAATAAAAAGTTATTCATACATAAAAATAGTCTGTAAAATGCTTCAGAATCTTACATAGGGAACCTTTTGTCTGATTAAACATTCTCCATTTAAATCGCTGACCGATTGATTTGGTTTTTGTTTTGTCATACAGCCTTACAAACCAAATCAAGCAAAAAGGCTCTATGGTTCAAAATAATTGTTGAACCCAAATCTGAGCTGGAACAGCCTAAAGGGGAGATTTGGGTTTGACTGTGGAAAGAGACTGCAGTGATGGAGAAGGGAATCTAGTGACCTAGGTAGAACATGAAGTGTAGACAGCCTAGCCTAGGGGAAGCAATAAATAAACAAGAGGCAACCTAACTACCTACTGTAATGCTCCAACACAGATCTACTGAAAATAAGAAAGGGAGAGTGGTGTGTTAATGTGTGTGGGTGTGTGTGTGTAATTAAGAATAGAACATACCCAAGGTTTAGGTGTTTCAGCTTCTGAAGACTGCTAATTTGAGTCGGCAGCTCTTCAATCTGGTTGTTGAACATGTTAAGGACCTCCACGTTCTTCAGCTCAGAGATGTTAGCAGGCACCGCTGGAAAACACACATAGAGGAGGGAAATGACAAGCATGTCAAACACACATAGATGTTGATACATTCCAACTAATACATCACACAGTGACAGAGTGTGGTTAGCACTCATCAACAGCCCCAATTCTGGACACCTCATCATAATTAGCTGCCCTGACAAACCTCTTGTACTTAATAACTCTATTATCTGTTGTGTTGGCCATAACTCTACATGTTGACATTTGAACAACACACATATTGCAGTTTATATCTTCCCTCCCCTTTACAGTTTTATACCCCCATGGTCAACAACCACAGAGGTACACAGATCAATGGGCTGATAACAAAGAGCAGGAAGTTTATCGGATTATCAGAGTGATCAATGGAAAAAGAGAGATGGAAGCAGTGGAAGGAGAAGTAAACCAACCAGGCCCTGACCTGAATGCTGCCAGGAGAATGAGAGTTAGACATGTGAGGTCTGCGCATACTGATACTGTATTAGTCTCTCTCTCTCTCTCTCCCTCACTCTCTCTCCCTCACTCTCTCTCCCTCACTCTCTCTCTCCAACACCCGAGGAGAGTGATTTTTCTTGGGGCTTTTTCTTTTGTGTCCTGAGAAAAGCAAAACTGTGATTAAAAAATTAAACTATAGAAGCAGATACAACTACATTCATTCAAAATCTTCATTGTCATATTAGACTGACAACAAATCAAGAGCTTTTATCAAAGCAGTCAGCACTTTGATATGTGACTTTTGAAAACTAGAGCAGATGAATGACAGAGCTCAGAGGACCTAAAACCCAGGTCCACCAGTATTTATATAAATATATACCCCAAGTCAAACACTGCAACAAATACATATTCACTGAAAATGTCGAGGAATAACACAAAAAGTTTAAGAAAATATTATAATTTCCTTTTTGGTCCTCTTTCCAGGAAGACAAAGATGGTAAAACAAGTCACAGATGACTACATCTTTGGTCACACTACATGACTTTCAAAGTCATAACATCACTGAACTGTTCACATTACACAACACTTTACGCATAGTGATCGTCCTCACGGGAGCAGGCAATGATTTGCCTCTGATCTGGGGGCATTTGTTGGCGACCTCTCAAAACTGTCAGCAAGTGGAAAATCAGCACTAAATCACATAGTGTGAACTCAGTGACTGTTAGGCTCCTCCATGTGTGTTTCAACAGGACATGTGTGAAAGTTGGGGTGCAATGGGTTACATTTAACAAAGCTCATGGATCCTGATGGTGCCTCCTGCCATGGTGCTGCTTGACTCCCATTGCTGATATTACTGATATTATTGTTATTATTATTATTATTATTATTATTATTATTATTATTACTATTACCAGTTACTATTATTACTATAATCACTGCTCATTGTCCTCTTTTAAGAGGAGCTCATGGGTCTCTGTAAATAATTGGATAAGGAGTGCGGTCTAGACCTGCTCTATTTTGAAAAGTGTCCTGACATAACTTCTGTTATGAATTGGCGCTATACAAATAAAATTGAATTGTTAAGATAAGGTATTGATGTTCTGCTATGAGTGTGACACAGGGACAGAGCAACCCTCCAGGTTGGGTCACAGTGCCAGTGCTTACAGTACACAGCTAACAGATGGATGGTCTGTGGTATGTCCGAGAGTCTGTAAAGAGATGCTGCTTTTAAAAAGATCCCGCTGGCTCATGGAGGATGTCAGAAATCAATTTTGTTTAGCTGGGCTCTCTCTCTGTGGGGCACTGACCAGAGCTCAATCAATGGAACACAACAACCTCCTACCCAGGTGGACAAACATACAGTATTTATAAGGTCCTCCCTACAATATATGATATTGATTTCCATATCCTCGGCTCTGTTGTATGTTAGTGTGTCTGGGGGAGTTGCTGGATTATCAGTTTGTGTGTTGGTATTTTTGAGGAAGAAACCCCCGGCTGAGTGAAGGGAATGGCATAACAGGTGACATTCAGCGTTGGTGCGTGATTGGAAATGGTGATGGTCACTTTGCACTGAATGTGATGACCCAAGTAGAGGTATGTTAGCACTGTGCAGCAACCAGCAGAAGCTCCCCCTCTCTCCTTTCTAATGGAGGACCTTCCTAAAGTTACTAAAACTTGTGACTACCTTCATACAGCAGCAAAATCACCTCCATCCCATCTGACAGAGTGGAGTTGCATTTGAAGGATCTCCAAATTATACTGGGTGAGAGCAGAAGATAGAACAAACCACACAGTGATATTTCCTGCTACCTTCACTGGCTGCTGGCAGGGTGGGACAGCTACAAGGCTGGAGTCACTTAGCATACATTGAGAGTGCCTGCAGGTGGGTAACTACGCCAATTATGTTGTCCCCATTTCTGTCTGATCTGGGCTATAAATAACCTGAGAGAGTGAGATGTGTGTAATCTTTTCATCTCCAGCAGCCGATTAGAAAACATCCCAGAAGGCAAACGTGTCACTTAATCAGCAAGCGCTGACGAAAAGGTGCTTCCAAAAACAGTTAGACAAAAATAAAATTTAAATCAAATGTTCACCTCAACATATTGTATTTAGTCTCAGTGTCTTTTTTCGACTGAAACCTGAAAACAGAATTTAAATTGATCTAAAAACTAGTGAAGTGGTGATTAATTAGCAGACCTTCATTGTTTGAATTCACAAAAGAAAGACTGGATTGAAGGGGGAAACTGGTTTATCACTGTGTAGTAAACCTACTGTATGAGTTTCAATGGTTTAAAGTTCACTCATGGTTAAGTGTCATACTTTACTACCAGCTGTGCTATCCCAGAAAATAAGGGAAGCAGGAGAGAAAAAAATAGTATTTTACCTTGTAACATACATTTTATAATTAGCAATCAAGCTATTCAAATGGGTCATAGAGCCAGACAGACAAACAGACAGATACACAGATAGATAATATAAAGTTCTCCCATAACACAGTTAAAACACAGGTTAATGTGAGTATGTTGATGGGTCTGTAGTGACCTCTGCTGGTGCAAAACATCATTACTTCACTCTAAAAGGTTGTCATTGAAGATGTCCACTCAATATCCACATACTTCCTATTCCAGAGGAAACAGAAAAACTGTGACAAAAGTACTTGAGCTGCCATATTTACAACATAAGCAAACTGTAACTGTAACTGACTGTGACTATAGCTGAACACTGTGGCTACCTTAGCTTCACTCTCTCAATGGAGCTTGCTCTGGTGTAAAACATCAGTCTCATGATACCAATGGTGAAGACCTGAACACAAACTATAGCCTAAACAGCCATGTCCTGCATTATAAAAGTACGCAGTTAAAACAACCAACGAGCTAATAGAACAATGGACCTCATGCAAGAACTTTTTTGTTTTCTTATCTTACTTTTGTTTGGTATGGTGGGTTCATACAATTGTGGCACGTCAGCTTCAGCAACACTTCTAACTTCAGATATTTCTGTGTAAAAATTATGAATGCCAACTGTGCATAATGGAGCACACATTTATATACACACACACACACACACACACACACACACACACACTTTACTATTCAGCAAGATAAAAAAAAAAATTGTGTTTGTGCCTAAGAGAAAACTGGTGAATGCTGCAAGTTCTCCTAAATCAGTCATACAACCCACCTTAGAATGAATATGTTTGTACAAATGGTTTCTGCATGAGTCAAAAAAGGCTTAAAAAGACATTTTTCATTAAGTCTAAAATAAGGGTCAGGGTGAATTATTTAGCTTTTCATTTACAGACCAACAGCAATGGTTAAAACCAACAGTTACAATATTGTGTGACACAGCTTCCGTGCCAGTGTACCTCCACACACTCAATTCACTGCTGTCTGACAGTTTGAGCTGGTGTCTGACAGAGAGCAAAGGAGGAAGAGAGCAGCTTACCTGTGAGCTTGTTGTGGCTGAGGACCAGTTGAGTGATGTTAGACAGAGTGACTGAAACGACATGGAGCATCAAGTCAACACAGCACTGCAACTGACTCAGTTTGTTAACACATGGATTTTACTGGTACATCAAATATTAATAGGACTGTAATATACTTGCAGTAAGTCACTTTCTTACGAATTGCCACTTTTTTACTAACCTTTTAATGACTAATGACTATGCTATGTTAAAGGATCTATCAGCAGTAATAGGATATACTATTCATAGGTATGTTTTCATTATAATCACCTGAAAATGACAGAACTTCAGTGGCAGTAACCATGTTGAATCACTATGTTTCTACAGTAGCCCAGAAGGAGTGCTTGGAAAAGTGCAAGGAAAAACAAGTGAGCTGCAATTTGCAACTACACCACTAGATGCCACTAAACCCTTATCTTTCAAAGGAAAAGCCCCATGGCATTTGACGAATGACGAATTTTGATTGCTTAATTGGACAAAGTTGATTTTGTCAATATATGTATTTATAAAAACATCAAGATGTTTAATAGTATTTACACTGGAACAAAGCACATATTATACTATTAAGGTTGTTCTGAATCCAATGGTACCAAGTATGTAATATTACTCTGTAAAGCTCTTGAGATACAACCATTTACAGTATCACACTGTATTAACTTGTCATTAAATGGTAAATGGACCTGTACGTGTATTTTCTAGTCTTCCGACCACTCAAATCGCTTTTACATTACATGCCACATTCACTCAGTGATGGCAAAGCCCATCGAACAGAAACTAACGCATTCATACACACATACACACAGCGATTTGGGGTTCAGTATCTTGCTCAAGGACACTTCGACGTGTGGCGGGAGGAGCCGGGGATTGAACCAACAACCTTCTGTGAGTGGACGAACGGCTCTTCCTCTGAGCCACAGCCATCATTAGAGGTTACTCATTTTATCCATTAAGAATATATTATAAAATGTATCGAAGGTCTGCATAGTGGAAATACTGGAGCAAGAAAAAGGAGGAAGATATAAAATTCCTTACCTATTGTTCTCATGGAAAATAAAAAAAAAAAAGGTATCCCTAGTGACTAACCACTAAAACAAAAAAACACAGTGGACTGTAAACAACTGTCTCCCTCGCTGGTGTGTTTCGTCTTGTATCTTGTTTTTGTTTGTTTGTAGACTTGATTTTTAGAAGGTGTGCAGTAATGCAAAATAAAAATCAACACAATAAAATTCTTTATAATGTTATTATTATATAATATTAAAAGGTATGTTTTAATGAACGAATAATCACCCGAATATAGGAATCATTGGGTTTTTGTTAGGTTAGAATGAGCTGGTTTTATCTACAGAGGAAGTGGGTACTCTTTCAAGGAGGCCACCATGTTAAACCAACGTGTTTCTACAGTAGCCCAGAATGGACAAACCAAATAGCCTAAGAAATGGCCTTTTCGCCCCTTCTGTAGAGTAATAGGCTGAGCTGTATTCAGATGGCTGCAAACTGCAACTTCACTGCTAGATGCCACTAAATCCCACACACGGGACTTTTAAAACTAAAGTAATAAGCCTGAAAATGTAGTGCAGATAGAGATATTTGAAAAATAAATTTCAAAAGTATTTGATAAAAAAACAACAGCAACGAAGTATTTGTACTTTGATACTTCCCACGTCTGCCCATTATATAGGTTTCTTTACTGTATTACTTGCTTTCACCATAAAGCCTAAGTACACTGAGAGTAAATCCCTTGTGTGTGTAAAACAAAGGCCTATTTGAATAATAAAGTTGAATGCGAGTGTGATTACCGACTACTAACGATTATTGGGGAAGTTGTCAACACTGCAGAAGAGGCGAGCTGCGGTGTCATCCCCACTGAGCCATCGCTGCGTTTGTTTGATCCGACACATTCTGAGGATTCATCATGAAAAACTAAAGCATAATGGCGGTAATGATAACATGCTTAATAAGTGGAAGTCATTCTCTTACATAGTCCTGGGATGTCCAGCATGTTCGAAATGCCCCTGTCGCACATCTCCACCTCTGGGATGTTCTTCTCCCGGCTCTCCTCCACTATCTTCTTCAAAGACTTGGACATTTTACTGATTCAACAAAAGTACAGCGTTTAGTTAGAAAAGTCTGGATTCGTACATAGTAACATTAAAGGAGAGCGACACAAACAAGCACAACACGTTGAGCTGCACGAGTACGTGGCACAGGGACAAATACTGAAGACGTTTACCGTTTGGAAAAGAGGAATGGAAAAGAAAAACAGCCTTTATTAGCCTTTTGATTCTTGGTTGAGACTTCGCTTCAAGCTCACACCCTACCGGAAGTTTATGTGAGAGCCACCATGCCATAATAGGATACTTCCGGTTCGTAGACGAGTTCAGCCACACCTCCACGAGGGCTACTCAAACTGCACCAAGCTGTGTGCCAGCCATTGACTTTATATATGGTGTTCACCAGCTGTTCACATTCGGAAGAGATTCCGAACTGAACTTTCCTTAAAAATAATTTTGATAATGAGTAGTCACAACACAAATAAAGGAAGCAAGAAAGTACTCCGTCGGAGCCCTCCACCTTTCAGACGGATTGTTATTTTATTGTTTATTTATTCTTTGTTGTTTCGCTCCGCTAACATCTCAAAGGCCAACTCTATAATATGCACTGCAATTTTATATGGAGGAGCAAAACACTTTTATTTAAAAAATAAAATTCATCATATTTGAAATTTCCACCATATCCTTACAGTATTAGGTTACATGAGACGTTGACCGGGTTCCTCTAGCTTCCCCTAGTGCTCCTAATGGCATTTGCAAGAATCCACTGAGCCTGAACAAAAAAAAATCAAAGTCGTGAAAGATTGTTGATTGTTGAGGCTCATTCCAAGGTTCGTCAAATACAACACAATATGCAAATAAGGAGGGGCTGATATTATTATAATAATATAACTAATATAGACCCAGACCCGTTAGGATATCTCAATGGCTCTAAGTAGACAACATAAACTGTCGTATAGTCCCAATCCAGTTGGTGGCGCTAATGCAGTATATGGTTGTTGCCAAACTCCATAAACCTCCCTAAATAGAGAAGAAGAACGACAGCACTGTAATACCTACAGTTTGTGGATGTGCCATGGCGAATCTGCGGGTTCTCGAGCTTTACAGTGGGATAGGAGGGATGCATTATGCTCTAAATGGTAAGCGTCGATATATACTAATTTGAGCTTCTTTTAAACCAGCCTGAGTATTTTCTCTGTCACGTTGTCCTCCATTGGAGCGGGTTACCGTGCTCGAAACTACATCCAGAAGTCTGTTTCCTTGTTCGGTTGTCGGTTGTAGAGTAAAAAGCTGCAGCCAAGACGGACAGTCTGAATCCAAGTTTCCGGACTTTAGAAGCGCTCTTGCAGACTCGTAGACTAAACGGGTTCGGGGTTCGGGGAACAGCCGGGGTGCTCCCGTGTATCCTCGCTTCGCTCGCGCCTTCGCTCCTCCCAGTCAGGATGATAATTGATACTGGGCAGGTTGATGTGAGGGGTTGCAGATCTCTAGTGCAGCTGAGTATGCATGTTTTGTTTGGTCATTTGGTGTTTTATGATGATGATGATGATGATGGTGATGGAGTCTAACACGTCGGTCCAAAATCTCCCATAGGTGTTCAGTTGGGTTGAGATCTGGTGACTAAAGGCCATTGCATATGATTCACATCATTTTCATATACTTCTAAAACTAAGGTATGACACTGTCTGCTAAAATGAAACGAAGATTAGTAGGCAGACAGATGTCACTTAGTTTGGTTTCTCACCCTGCTTACTTGGTAATTAAATCTTTTGTTCTCATCTGAACCGTCTCCATGAAAACTCCATCCCCTAACATCCACAAGATGTGGCTGATAGATATCCTGTTAGATGACAATGTGCTATCAGTGAAACAGCAAAATAATATCTAGAAAATATTCATCTGTAGCTTTTTATGTTTTTTCTTCCTTCAGAGAGTGGCATACCTTCCCAGGTAGTAGCTGCCATCGACATAAATACCACAGCCAATCAAATCTACAGGCACAATTTCCCCGACACCTGTCTCTGGAACAAGACCATTGAGGTGGGTGACAGTGGAGAAAGAATCAAACCTCCATCCATTGCCCTGCAATTGACTCTTATGCGGTATTGTTATAACTTTTAAAAACTGGTTTTAATTATTTTTTAGGGCATAACACTTGATGACTTCAATAAATTATCTTTTGACATGATTCTGATGAGCCCTCCTTGCCAGCCTTTCACCAGGTAGGTCTTATGTGTTTTAAACACAAGAACCTCAGTAAGGGTTAGATATACTGGTGCCTAGGACGGTTGTCAGCCATAGTCAAACGTCGATAGGCTCTACGAGTGTTTAACTTGGTGGTTAGCATTTAAAAAAACAGCTGAGGCTCGAATATCATTAGTTTTATAGGTATGTGCTTATAAACTAAAGCAGTGGTTCCCAACCTCTGACAGCCCTTGACTAAGTTCCATATTTGATGGAATTAATGAAGAATTAGTTATTTGGATGAATTTTGAGTTTTTCTGATATTTTTAGCAACTTTTTATACAATTCTCTTTCAGTATCATATATTTTTGAGAGAGAGAGACTCTGTTATATTCAGACATGGCATTAAATTACACTGATGGAATCTAGTAATAGTTATTAAATAATGGTTAGATAGGAAAGGATTATGTGGGAAGACTAGTAAATGTTCAATATCAATGCCATATGATAGAATGAGGTCAAGAGTATGATTAAAACAATGAGTTGGTTTATTTACACTCTGACATGATACAAATGCATTACTAAGGCTGTCATTGTTAACATCCACATGAATATTAAAATCACCTACAATAATTACTTTATCTGATTTAAGGACTAAACTTGATAAAAACTCTGAGAATTCAGATAGAAAATCAGAGTACGGTCCAGGGTGAGAAAGACTAAGAACAAGGCTTTCAAATTAATTATAATTTTGTTTCGGTTTAGGGTCAATTAAAACGCTTGAATCATATATGGCTGCTACTCCACCTCCTCGGCCAGTGCCTCGAGGAATGTGAGTATTAATATGACTCGGGAGGGATTCATTTAGGCTAATATACTCCTCGTGGGACAACCAGGTCTCAGTAAGACAAAGTAAATCAATATCATAATCTGATATTAATTCATTAACTAGAACAGCTTTAGAGGACAGAGACTTGATATTTAACAGCCCACATTTCATTCTCTTATTTTGTGCTACTGAGGAGTTAATTTTAATTTTTATTAGGTTCTTATGTTTATCCCCTCTTGTTTTTATTTCTTTAAATAATTTAGGTGGTCGGGGGACAGACACAGTCTCTATGGGGATTTGGGTGGGTGACTGTTCTAATGGAAGTGCAGAGACGTGTGTAAGACAGCAGCTCTGCTTCCTGGTCCCAACTCTGGACTGTCAGGTTTTAGAAATAAACTTTGTCATATTCCTGGATAAGAGAGCCGTCTCTCCTTATCAGACCAGGTTTTCCCCAGAAGGTCCGCCAGTTATCTATGAAGCCCACATCATTTTCTGCACCGACTACTGGGGGCTCGCTAACTATTGCGGCTAAAGATTTCTCTGTGGTGCGGTGCCGTGCTTCTAGTTCATTAAGCCGCGCCTCCAGCGCAGTAAATAAACTGCACTTAATACAGGTACCATTACCGCTAAAGGCAGAGGAATAGGTAAACAACTAATACACTGAGCAGGAAAGAGCAGAGGGACAGGGAGACGCCATTGCTTACTGCTAGTGTAGCTAGCGTGTGAAAAACTTTTTTGTTGCGAAAAGTCGCTAAAAGAAGGAAGTAGCTCCTAGTGCTTAGATAGAACCAGTCTACGTTTAAATGTTAAGTGGGTAAAAAAAACGCTGTAACGAGTGAAACAGTTACTTTTTAGCGTTCACTGGACAGAGCTACAGCAGTAAACACTGTACACAGGAGCAGGAAGTAACTGGAAATGACACAGTACACCTACCGTTGCACGTCCTAAGCTCAGACTCACTGGGAAAACGGTGTGTCCAGCTAGTGATAATCAAACCAGATTCAGTTTCGGTTTTTGAGCAGCAGTGCTGCACTCGTCTGCTTTATTTGCACCTTTTTTGTATAGCTCTTGTTCTTTTTCTGTGTTTTTACTAATATATTTAAATTTAAGGCTGTCTTTTCACTGAAATCTGTGTTTTATGTTTTTCTCTCTGTAGGATAGGACTTAAGGGTGACATTTCTGACCCCAGAACTAAGAGCTTCCTCTACATCCTTGATCTTCTGCCAAGGTCTTAAATCTCCATATTTAAGCTTTTATTACCCTTGGGTTTGTCTCAATGTGAATTTTTTTTTGTATCAAAATCAAAATTGGCTGTTCTTAATTATTACTACATTATTGTCCTATACTTTTAACAGGTTAAATGAAACTGCTAAATGAAACTCTGGGCTGTTGTATTGGTATTAGCGCTTTGCGCTCTGTATATCTGTACTTTGTAGCCAAAGAGGGTTTCCTTGAGAAGGAAACATCATTCGGTATTTGACCATCCAAGGGAGTCTTGACATAAACAATCCAGGAACAGGTCTGATCTATGAACAGTTGTCTGCTTCTCCTGTCAGTTTGTAAAGCTAACGTTACCTCAGACAGCTCCAGTTTTAGATAGGGTTATTGCCAGAGGTATAGTAACTTACCCACATTTATCGAATTCTTAATTAAATGTTGTTATAACATTGTTATGTAATTATTATCCAATTATTTTGTGTTATTTTTAAAAATCACAGTTCATATCAAGGTTAATTTACTTCTTCTACAACACAGGGTTGTATGTACAATGAAATGTAATCCGCTCTACTTTATTTACTTTGTTACAGTCCAGTTTTGTTTTAGTGAAAGTAATATGAGTACTTAGTAGAGTTTAGTCAGGTTGAAAACATTTTTAAAGAAAAAATGGTACAATCTACTATATCTACTAAGATGTATCTTTTCTAGAACCTGAAAATTATGCACTCTTGACTTATACTCTTTAATGTGTGGTGTATCTCATTGTGAAGTAGATGAGATACAATGTGACGTACGACAACAATTAATATTATCAGTGTGGAATACTGTTTAGAAAAACAGAGGAATTTGCATCAACTACGAGCCAAAAGATAAAGAAGAAACTGCAACTACTAGCTAGCAAGCTAACAACAGCCTGACTGCCGAACTGCCACAGAACACTGATTGATCAAAAGCAGACGCTAAACTACCATACTGAAGTTAACTTCTGTTAACTTCATCATCTACTGTTAGTGTGGTTGTTGCTACTCTTGCTGTTGCTGTGTAACCGTCTCTCTCTCTCTCTGTCTCTCTCTCTCTCTCTCTCTCTCTCTCACCCCAACTGGTCGAGGCAGAAGACCACCCACCTAGAGCCGAAGGGTCTGTCCTAGGTTTCTGCCTCTTAACAGGCAGTTTTTCCTTGCCCCTGTTGCCAAGTGCTTGCTCATGGTGGTACTGTTGGGTCTCTGTAAATGTTAGAACGAGTTCGGTCTAGACCTGCTCTATTTGAAAAGTGTCCTAAGATAACTTATGCCAGAGCATGAAAGAGGAGTCTGAGAAGAAAGAAAAGGAAAGCTCAACGCACTTGGAGGCAAACAGCTTAAACAAGACGGAAAGGTTCCCCACATCAAACAACCCCTCAGTCACTCACAGTCCTGAAACCACCCCAAGGTTCTTCAACAATCTAAAGACTCTCAAAGACGGCCTTTCAGCGTTGGAGAGGTAATTCGTGGAGTCCTTATCCCTCTGCATCAAAAAACAACAGATGATCAACCAAAAATTGAGACCACTCTGATCCTCCAACAACGGGACCAAATCAGATAACTGCAACAGGTCATGAGAGAGCTGGAGGAGGATAACTAGTCTCTAAGGATGATTATCCGAACAATAAGAGAGGAAATCACCTGCATCAAACAAAGCAGAACCAGGGAAACACTCTACTAACCTTCCTACTTTATGTCCCTCGGATGTCATCTCCCCTCCCTCTGATGACAACCCTCTCCTCCCACCCCCAAACCTCCTTAATATCCTCTACCACTCTGCTTCTTGACCCACCTACCCCTCCAAAGCCCTCAGAAACAGATGGACACACCTCTGCTGACCACCAGCCTAACAACAGAATCAAGAAATCAACATACAAAGAAATCTTGTTTCTCTGCGACTCTAATGGGAAACACATTAACATGACACGTCTGCTCCCGGCAAAAAAATCTGTCGTACTCAGTCGCAGGTCATGGGTCCTCCAACAGCATAATGACCCAAAAAACAGTTAAAAACACACAATAATGGCTAAGAGCAAAACATTTTACTATTCTGAAGTGGCCTTCTATGAGCCCTGATCTAAATCCTATTGAGCATCTGTGGAAGGAGCTGAAACATGCAGTCTGGAGAAGGCACCCTTCAAACCTGAGACAGCTGGAGCAGTTTGCTCACGAGGAGTGGGCCTAAATACCTATTGACAGGTGCAGAAGTCTCATTGAGAGTTACAGAAATCACTTGATTGCAGTGATTGCCTCAAAAGGTTGTGCAACATAATATTAAGTTCAGGGTACCATCATTTTTGTCCAGGCAAATTTCATTACTTTGTTTTTTAAAATGATTCTGTTGAACCACAATTCAAAAGCAATGTCTGATTTTCATTAGTTAATTTTCAGTACATTTTTATTTATTGTTATTACTTTTTTCAGTTTCTAATTATTTCAGTGATCATTGTGGGTACGGAAGGGTACCAACAATTTTGTCCACGTGTGTACATTGTTAATGGTAGAAGACAAGGAGACTCCCTGGGCAGGTTCACGTATTGCTCTGTGTTGGGAAATAGGGTAATTGATTATGCAATCACGGATGTGTATCCAGGAAACATAAATGCATTCACAGTTTTACCACAACATCCCATGTCAGACCACAACCATATCACACTCTTCTTGAAAAAATAGAGAAAAATAGTGAATCAGTCTTGAAACTGTTGAGAGTCCAATATGAAGAGACCAAACTCCAAATCAATCAAAAAACAAGCAAAAGAACAATGGTTTAACAATGAATGTTCCTTTCTCAGAAAACATCTCAGTAATCTGTCAAACAAGAAACACAATGACCCTGAAAACAAAGCCTCACGCCATGAAAACCACACAAGCCTTAAACAATAGAAGAAAATGATCAACCAAAAGAAGGCTAAATACACAGATGATCAATTGATCGGAACAATCTAAAAAGCAAGAGACCACAACTCTTTTTGGAACCTGTGGAAAAGATTTAATTCAACCAAATATAAAGATAACATTGCAATATTTTGAAAAACAAATAGGACAAAGCGTAATACATCCTGGAATGAGTGAAGCTTGCCTGCTGACATGTTAAAATGACTGTCACAACTGCACTGAGCAAAGAGCAAAACCATTTGTTTATAGTGTAGGCTACAGTAGCCTATTCAATATTGAATGAAGTAGGTTACTGTACACTCTTTGTCACTGCACAGAGTAGACATTATGATTTGCTTGTATAGCACCTTAAAAAACTCACTGTAGCCTATATTCATAGGCAAACCCAGCCTCGCTTTCAATATAACACACACTCGCATTCTGTAATCACCGTCAGTAAATAATAATATGAAAACAATATAAAATATCTTTCAACAAGAAAAAATAAATTGTTTACTGTAAATGGATAAAGGTCAATAGATGCGCAATGTTCAGCTGTCATGTTATAACTGCGCCACCTTGTGGCTAAACATCAACTGCACTGAAGTCATCATAACTTCAAAAGTTCTCATTTTCAAATGATTAAGAATAATATTATTGTTATTTGAAGCCGTGTCAGTCTTGACTGTGTATTTTTGTCGACATTATCAAACGGAAGAACTTTTATTTTGAAGAGCACAGGGCAACGAAGCACACTAGCCAATCAGAGGACCCGCCCACCTACTGAAACAAGATATTGAGTGGTAAATTTGTTTTGTTAAGTGAACCAAAAAACGAGGCGAGCTGACCTTTTGATTTTCGTTTTTTTGACAAAACTAAAAAACGGCTTGTTTTTTGGTTTCTGCTTGTGTCAATTATTCCCAGAAAACAGACTGATAAAACGTACCTTGCTCAACAACAGATCACATATTTACTCTCCATACTCTAATCGAAAACATGTACACCAAAAAAAATAAAGGAAAATTTTGTTGATTTCAAGAAGGCATTTGATTTGATTTGGCACAATGGTCTTTTCTATCACTTTTCTATCAGAGTTTACGACTTGACTAAATGTGAATACTCAAAAAATTAGTGTGAAACAGGAGAAATTGAAACTGAAATTTATTTTCTGTATTTCAGAATCAGATTTCTTGTCAGGTAGATTTTTACACATACGAGGAATTCGTCTTGGTGCAGTAGTGCATAAAATATAAAATCGCACAAAAATAAACAAATCACACAACAATCACACGCAAAAAATAAGTTTGTACTTTTGTACTTTTAAAATATAAATAAATAAAGATAAGAAAACTGTACATAAAAACAGGAGTGCATTAATGTAATGCATACTGTATATACAGGGTGGGTTTAAGAGTCAGTGTCAGTGGGGGATCCGGGCCTTGTTAATGAGGCCAGCTGCAGACGGAAAGAAACTGTTTTTGTGGCGTGAGGTTTTGGTCCTGATAGATTGCAGCCTCCTGCCAGAGGGAAGTGTTTCAAAGAGTTTGTGTCCGGGGTGGGAGGGGTCAGCCACAATCTTGCCTGCACGCTTCAGGGTCCTGGAGGCATACAGGTCCTGGAGGGATGGCAGATTGCAGTCGATCACCTTCTCAGCAGATCGAATGATATGCTGCAGTCTGCCCTTGTCCTTGGCAGTGGCAGCAGCGTACCAGATGGTGATAGATGTGGTGAGGATGGACTCGATGATGGCGGTGTAGAAGTGCACCATCATTGTCTTTGGCAGGTTGCTGCCACAGGAAGTACATCCTCTGCTGGGCCTTCTTGGTGAGGGAGCTGATGTTCAGCTCCCACTTGAGATCCTGGGTAATGATGGTATCCAGGAAGTGGAAGGACTCCACAGAGTCAAATGGGGAGTCACACAGGATGATGGGGGCGGTTGCGGCTGGGTTCTTCCTGAAGTCCACAACCATCTTCACTGTTTCCAGAGCGTTTAGCTCCAGGTTGTTCTGGCTGCACCAGTTTACCAGATGGTCAATCTCCCATCTGTAGGCAGACTCATTTCCACCAGAGATGAGCCCAATGAGGGAGGTTTCATCGAACTTCAGGAGCCTGACGGACTGGTGACTGGAGGTGCAGCTGTTGGTGTACAGGGAGAAAAGTGGAGGAGTAAGAACGCAGCCTTGGGGGGATCCGGTGCTGATTGTCTGAGAGACAGAGACATTTTTCCCCAGCTTCACGTGCTGTTTCCTGTCAGACAGGAAGTCTGTGATCCACCTGCAGGTGGAGTCAGGCAAAGTGAGCTGGGAGAGCTTGTCCTGTAATTTTCAAAATACAAAGAAATTAGAGAAAATGTCTTCCTCAAAGACTTTCTGACCCTCCCAAAACAGCGACTGATTCAAACCCTGATGGGAGAACACAACAGGACAGTAGAACTGGCAGGATAATTTATCACTGCATGTCACACATCAAGACTGATTTCAATGTAAGATTGTTTTTGTTTTTGTTTCGTTTTTATTTATTTTTTTCAATTTAGTTTTTTTATCTTCTGTTATCTTTAATTTCATTGTATTAATAGTATTTGTATTATTGTATTGTACAGTATTCATATTTGCCTTGGCAAAATGTTTGAATCAAAACATCATGCCAATAAAGCCAATTAAATTGAGCAGCTTTCTAACTGAAGCCCCAGGTCTGTTCTCTCTGTCGTGGCCTGAGGATGGATATGTTGGCATGGTTTCTGTCAGTGAACTCTCTTATCCTTTTTTCCCAAATGATATATGATGATGTGTGACCAGGCTGAGCAAGCTGCCCCGCTTCATCCTGCTGGAGAATGTGAAAGGCTTTGAGACCTCCTCTGCAAGGTAACGATGGAGACAGCAAGGATACACCACAAGGTCCGAAAGGTCACCCTGTCAGTGATGGATAGGATTGAAATAATTTCTTTAAATGTCCTACCTTGATGGTTTACAGAGGATTAATGTGGTATAATGATGAGTTATATCTAACATGATTAACACTATATCTGTACCCAAAATAATCGTACTTATGGAAAATGTCAAAACATGAGCAGAGGCACCAGTTTTTACTCCTTTCCAGTTGTAAAGTATACTTACTATACAGCAGAACACATCAAACAAGTATGTTAATTAGTCTTTCATCATTTTAATCTCTCAAATCATCTGCATCTTTGCTAAGTTAGACTTTAAAAAAAAAAAAAGTCAAATTTTGTGATTTTTATATTATTATTCTTTTTTTTATTTATTTAATTTTTTTTTTTTTTTACTCAATTTCAAGTCTTTGATCCAGTTGTGCAATATGCACTTTCAAGGAACCAAAAGTAGCTTCTCAGAGTTTGTAATGTGATGCAGAGACAACACCGACAAAAGACAACATTTTTATTTTAAATATCCAATTTCCTTGGAAATGCATGTCCAGAATCTGGAAGATGGAAATAAATCCCCCATCGGAAAAGCACTTAATGCACAGAGTTGAAAGGGAACAATTTATTGTGTGCAAGGTAACGGTTGATGTGCAGCTTGTGAAGAATCTTGTACTGAGTCTCTCTGTCTTCAATATATTCAGTACATAAATCTCTTTCCTAATTTAAAATGGAAAACAACTCTCATAGGCCTTCCCTTTTCTCAGCGATGACTTGTTATCATTCGTAATTTATTACGAATGATAATATGATATTATGCTTCTCTTGCCCAGGGAACGTTTGGTGAAAACACTGATGGGATGTGGATACACTTTCCAGGAGATCATGGTTTCACCCACAAGTGTAAGAAAGGCACACTGTATAACTTACTTCATGAAATACATCTGTACTGTGGAACAGTACTGATTTGTTTTTGTCACTGTTGTATTCATAAATCTAGGTTGGAATCCCAAATTCAAGACTGCGTTATTTCCTGATTGCTAAGATTTCAACAGAAAACTCAAGCACCCTGACAAGTTTTAAGGTAAGATTTGATGACAGTTATTCTGATATCATGAAATAATAAAAAAAAAAGAAATGTCATGATGCATTTTTTTTAATAGGAAAAACCCAAATTGCTCTTTCTTTGGAAAAATGTATTTGCCAATTGAGTCAAAACTGCAAGATTTTGTGATTTGTGTAGCTTCAGATGGTTTGATCCTATAACTGAAGGTCTGGCTATCTTGACACATGGGCTGTGGGCAGCATATTGGTCTATGTTTCTTTTGCATGGTCTTGTCCCTTGTACCCAGTCCCTTAAATTCCACCTTGGCTGCCTGTGCTGTATGGGGATCACCAAGCACAAGAGCCAGACCAACATATTGGTATCATATTTATATTGGCGTTATATGTTATATGTTATCCGATATGTAATGCAGAAAAATATATTTGTGTCACTGCAAAGTTTATCCAGCAGAGTGCGCTGTGATTTTACAATACTGTGCAGCACAGAGTAAGAGAGGAGAGGCAGCTCTCAGCAATGTTAACTAGAATGTGTTGAAATTATTTAAATGGTAAATGGACCTGTACTTGTATAGCGCCTTTCTAGTCTTCCGACCACTCAAAGCGCTTTTACACTACATGCCACATTCACCCTTTCAAACACATTCACACAGTGATGGCAAAGTCCATCGAACAGAAACTAACATTCATACACATTCAGACACCGATACACATTCAGACACCGATGCACGGCATGGGGAGCCATTTGGGGTTCAGTATCATGCTCAAGGATACTTTGACATGTGACAGGAGGAGCCGGGGATTGAGCCACCAACCTTCCGATTAGGGGACGACCCGCTCTGCCTCTGAGCCGCAGCCGCCCCGATTTAAACACATTAAAGAATATTTAATATTCTTTAATAAAGTTATTTGTTTAAAAAAGCATCCCTTTAATATCTTTGCAGTCTTATTAGTGTGAAATCCACATAGAAAAGTCTATTTCCATTCCAGCTAAACAAAGTTACTATATTTTGACAGATATTGCCACTGCGGTATGATTTACAATTACTGTGGGAATGATCATTTTTGCATCACAAATTTTTATTTTCATTGAAATAAATATTAAAATTATGATGTGAAAATCTTTGGGTTCTACCAAATATACATTTATCTTTACTCATATCTGGAAAACAAAATGTGTAAGCCAGGACAGCACTACAGTACTTCATTATACACACATTTGTCACATATTTTTGTTTTATTAAAATTGCTGATTCTACGATTTGCATATTGCACCATATTTGGATTTTGATGATATTGTGATTAATTGTGTAGCCCTGCTCTCAGCATGATTGACCTGTATGGGTTCACTTTGGTCAAACTGGGCAGCCCTGTTTCAATCAGTGATGCCCAGTTTACCTATTCATTTTAAGCAATGCAGCTCAGGGTACATTAACTTTTGCCCCTACAAAAGTACCAAAGAAATCTCTTTAATTTAGTCACTACACAATTAATTTCCTCAAAATAACTATATGGAATTGATAAACATACACCACATAGAATATATAGATATACTGGTTCTAATTAGGGACGGAGCACTAATAAGTGCAAGGACCCTATTGTTCCTCTAGGAATTATTATTATACCTCTGGGACTTCGATATTTGGCCCCTGCAACATGCTTAAAATGCCATGAAAATTTGCACAAAATTCAAACGTAGCTAAAAATACCGATATGACATTGTCCCCGTGCATGGGCGCCGCCAAACGGCTAAGCCACGCCCCCCAGAATCAGCCCCCAAGACACGTAAGGCCCACATGTACGAAAATTGCTACGGATGTGTATCATGATAAAAGAAGCAGAAAAGCCTCTTGGAGCCATGCCCCAAAACCCACAGGAAGTCTGCAATTTCAATTTTTAATTTGTGGTCATTTTGACTTTTTGGGCTTGTATTTGAACGAACTCCTCCTAGGGAATTTATCGGATCTGCTTCAATATTGGTCAGTACAGTCAAAACATGGTGCTGAATGAACGCTGTTTAATTTGTAACTGTACGTTCAAGGGCATGTCCATGGCGTGCCCTCAAATTTGGCCAATTTTAAGTCTGTGGTCATTTTCGGTGAATTTTCGCCTTGCATTTGAATGAACTCGTCCTAGGGAATTTCTGGGATCTGCTTCAAAATTGGTCAGTACAGTCACAAAATGGTGCTGAATTAACGCTGTTCATTTTTTGACTGTACGTTGAAGGGCGTGTCCGTGGCGTGCCGTCAAAGTTGGCCATTTTGAAAGAATGTCACACTGTGATGTCACTTTTGGCATTTCAGGGCTTCTATTTTAACTAACTCCTCCTACAGGTTTTATTGGATCTACTTCAAAATTGGTCAGTGCAGTCAGTTTTTTTCGTCCAACATTGTGCCCGTGGCGTGGGGTCCCGTGGCATCCAATTTCACACCTTCGCCATGAAAGAGGGATTCGTCATAACTTCTGCGTACATGATCCGACTGCAACGAAACTTCACATGTTCGATAAGAGTCCCGCCCTGAACATGTCTATGTGATAATATTCGGTAATAGTCAGAGCGCCACCTAGTGGCAACAGGAAGTATCACGTTTTATACTTTCATGTTCTACTCCTAGCAGGATGATCAGACCCAGCTGAAATGTACTTATAAAATGCAAAACACATTGTTGATTATATGTGATGACTGTGGTGAGGGGGCATGTCTGTAGCGTGGCGGGAAATTTTGATATACCGCTACAAAACACAAATTTGCTATAACTTGAGTGTACATTGTCCAATCGGCTCCAAACTTCACATGTCTGATAAGAGTCCCGCCCTGAACACGTCTATGTGATAATATTCAGTAAAAGTGAGAGCGCCACCTAGTGGTGAAAGGAAATGTCATTTTTTTTATACTTCCATGTTCTACTCCTAGTAGGATGATCAGATCAAGCTGAAATCTAGTCAGAAAATGGTAAACCTGTTCTTGATGATATTTCTTGATTGTGGTGAGTTTTTGTTACAGGGCGTGGCGTGGCATCAAACTTTGATGTACCGCCAGAACACACAAAGTTGCTATAACTTGAGTGTACATTGTCCAATCAGCTCCAAACTTCACGTGTGATAAGAGTCCCGCCCTGAACACATAGTGATAGTGCCACCTAGTGGCAACAGGAAGTAAGTGCTGCGTGGCGATTTTGAGCTGATTTACGTGAGATTTTCATGTCGTGGTTCGCACGTGTTAGGACGGCACGTGACGCGGCCGCAGCACGCCCCGAGTTGCATGGAGTGCGAGGTCCCGTCCATCGCTGCTTGCAACTTTAATTACATATATAATTGTAATTCTTTCAAGCAGAACTGTGTTTTCTCATTTATCTCTGTTGGTACATAGCCACAGAGACAGTTTTGGCATATTTTTCCAGGTTTTGAGAAATCTGCCTCTGCCTCTAGGCTAATATTAATAAATTATTAGATTTTAGATGCCATCCCACATCCTGCTGAGAGTGATTCTGCTGAGCTGCCAACAGCCCTGGGTCCTCCCCATCCAGGTACCTGCCAGCCAGAAGAGGAAATACCAGGGGGTCATGTCCTGTATAAACTAGAGACAACAATGGATGCCCAAAGGAAGATAAATCAGAACCATGATCTGTCTGTCAGGCAGATCCAAGATTTCCTGGAACCACAGATGGAAGTAATCTTGGAACATTATCTCCTTCCTCCTAAAACACTGCTGCGATATGCTCTGCTCTTGGATATTGTTCGGCCCACATGCAGGAGGTCTGTCTGCTTTACCAAAGGGTGGGTAGTAAATCTTCATTTAACTGTCACTATCTTCACTTGTCTCATTATTATGTGGTACAAGTAACTGCAGACAAAGCATGTGTAAGAGATAACTGGTTCAAGTGTTGATCCATAACCATTTATTTGGTGCCAGTTCTACAGTATGTGCCTTGCATAAAGGTCCAGTGTGTAACATTTAGGAAGATCTATTGGCAAAAATGGAATATAATAATCATAGGTATCTTTTCATTAGTGTATAATCACCTGAAAATGAGTACCATTGTGTTTTCATTACCTTTAGAATGAACTGGTTTAATCTACAGGAGGATCCCTGGAACCTGCCATGTTGAACCACCATGTTTCTACAGTAGCCCGGAATGGACAAACCAAACACTGGCTTTTGATTGGGCCTTAAGCGTTTCTTGCGAGTTTCATGGCCACCATAGTTTCTCCTACATGCTTGGAAGTCTCTGTTCAAATGCTTGCAAAATCTATAAGAAGACGAAAAGCCACTGTACATTACGGAATCAATTTGTGAAAACATTTGTCAATAATAAAAAATACTTTTATAGAATATAGAATACTATTGTGTATTGGAGTTATATCAAATGCTTGGTGCCAGTGGATTCAGAACAACTTCAGTGTTCATTTCTAGGTCAAATTGATGTCGAGTGAATGTTGTTGCATTTTAAAAAGAAAATCACCTTTGTTTACCAATGAAAGCATGATGAATATGTGAAATCAAACACTTCTCTTTGATAGTCCATCTCATCCTTGCTGTCTAGTTGGTTGATAACTGTTAAAATAATCACTTAGTAATGCTAATTTGACTGTTTACGTGTTTCATCCATAGCTATGGGCGGTATGTGGAGGGAACTGGCTCAGTACTGCAGTGCAGCATGGAAACAGAGGTAGGTTTTGGCTTCAGTACGGGCGTCAAAAATACTATACATACGTGGACAAAATTGTTGGTACCCTTCCGTTAAAGAAAAAAGAAAAACCCTGAATGGTCACTGAAATAACTTGAAACTGACAAAAGTAATAAATAAAAATGTTCTGAAAATTAACTAATGAAAATCAGACATTGCTTTTGAATTGTGGTTCAACAGAATCATTTAAAAAAACAAACTAATGAAACTGGCATGGACAAAAGTGATGGTACCCTGAACTTAATATTTTGTTGCCCAACATTTTGAGGCAATCACTGCAATCAAGCGATTTCTGTAACTCTCAATGAGACTTCTGCACCTGTCAACAGGTATTTTGGCCCACTCCCCGTGAGCAAACTGCTCCAGCTGTCTCAGGTTTGAAGGGTGCCTTCTCCAGACTGCATGTTTCAGCTCCTTCCACAGATGTTCAATAGGACTTAGATCAGGGCTCATAGGAGGCTACTTCAGAATAGTCCAATGTTTTGCTCTTAGCCATTCTTTGGTGTTTTTAGCTGTGTGTTTTGACCCATGACCTGCAACTGAGACCAAGCTTTCTGACACTGGGCAGCATATTTCGCTCCAAAATTCCTTGATAGTCTTGAGATTTCATTGTACCCTGCACAGATTCAAAACACCCTGTGCCAGATGCAGCAAAGCAACCCCAGAACATAACTGAGCCTCCTCCATGTTTCACAGTAGGTACAGTGTTCTTTTCTTTGTATGCTTCATTTTTGTGTCTGTGAACATAGAGCTGATGTGACTTGCCAAAAAGCTCCAGTTTTGTCTCATATGTCCAAAGGATATTCTCCCAGAAGCTTTGTGGTTCGTCAATATGCATTTTAGCAAATTCCAGTCTTGCTTTTTTATGATTTGCTTTCAACAGTGGTGTCCTCCTCGGTCGTCTTCCATTCAGTCCACTTTGGCTCAAACAGCGACGGATGATGCAATCTGACACCTTGACCTTGGAGTTCACCTCTAATCTCTTTGGAAGCTGTTCTGGGCTCTTTGGTTACCAATCGTATTATCCATCTCTTCAACTTGTCATGAGTTTTCCTCTTGCGGCCATGTCCAGAGAGGTTGGCTTCAGTCCAGTGGACCTTAAACTTCTGGATAATATGTGCAACTGTAGTCACAGGAACATCAAGCTGCTTGGAGATGGTCTTAAGCCTTTTACCTTTAACATGCTTGTCTATAATATTGTTTCTAATTCCCTGAGACAATTCTCTCCTTAGCTTTCTGTGGTCTATGTTCAGTGTGGTACACACCATGATACCAAACAGCACAGGGACTACTTTTCACCCTTTAAATAGGCAGACTGACTGATTACAAGTTTGAAGACACCTGTGATGTTAATTACAGGACACACCTTAGTTTAACATGTTCCTATGGTCAAATTATTTTCAGTCTTTTTTAGGGGTGCCATCATCAATCATCCAGGCCAGTTTCATTACTTTGTTTTTTAAATCATTCTGTTGAACCACAATTCAAAATCAATGTTCATTTTCAGTAAATTTTTATTTACTATTACTTTTGTCAGGGTCAAGTTATTTCAGTGACCTTTAACAGAAGAGTACCAACAATTTTGTCCACGTGTGTATAGCCAAGGACATTGAGTGCTGCAAGAATGAGTCTTAAAACCCAGAACCAAGTGAGCCTCTCAGGTTCCCTCTCCCCGTAAATGTTTTGGTTTCTTTTCTGTTTTTTTTTTTTTTTGGTGAGATGCCTGAAATAAGGTCTGTGGTTTATACAACCTAAGAGATTTTTTTATTAGTGGTTCCAAGCAAAAATAGACAGTGAAAAGTATCTGTTCATAGTATTGACATTATACCAGCAACATATACACCTTTCACTGCAGGTCCAATGTATTTATCTGGTGTGTTGCAAACAAAAATTAAATTAACAGCTCCTGTATCTGTTTCAGATTAAAAGCTCTGTAGTGTTTATGTGCATATATTATTTATCAAAGACAAACTAAATGTATGTAGAAAGATAGGGCTGGCAGAAGAAACGCTCTGTGTGGACCACAGAGGTGTGCCAGCTGCAACAGTTCAGTGTGGCAGGCAGGATAAATCTGGGTGGGGAAAGTAAAATGCACCACTTGCCCCTTCCTCATTGAGGTGCCTTTAAGTAAGACCCTTAACCCAGCTTCTAGAATTATTTTTGTAGAATAACTTTTTGTAATTTTTTTTTTTTTTTTCAGTTCAACAAAAAACAACACCACAAACATTGATTGGCTTTTTTGAAAATAAAGCCTGTCAAACGTTCTGCATAAGAATTTGAAATAAATTATTATTAATCGATAATTTATCAGCTATAAATGAATTTGTTGTCATCCATTCATTGAACATAGCCATCGTTATTTTATATTTTATTTTGTTTTTATTTTATTATATTTGCTATTTGCACTACATTTCCTCTGTGCTGCTGTGCCTAACTTGAATTTTTCCTACGGTGGATCAATAATAAAACATCTTATCCCAGCTAAGCTTTACCAATCCCTAATGAGCATCAGAGCAGCAGTCATTTTTTATTATAGTATGCTGAAGGTTTTAGCTTTGTGTGCTCTGCAGATGGAGAATGTGTTTAGGGGTCTGGACCAGTGCTGTGAAGAGGAGAAACTCCAGAGGCTATTGAAACTGAAGCTCCGTTATTTTACTCCCAGAGAAGTTGCCAACCTCATGGGCTTCCCTCAAAGCTTCTGTAAGTTTAAAATGTCCAGATGTTTGCAACTACCTATGCTGAGGGCATGAGTAGTTGTATGTTTCTACAGAAGGGACAAACCAAACACTGGCTCTAGATAGGGGCATTTGCAGCTAAATTTGCAACTAGATGCCACTAAATCCTACCTACTGGACCTTTTCAACATAGATGAGCCCAGTACATAGCATATCTAGTACAGGAAAGGAGAAAGTTCTGGCATAAGATTGCTTGACAGTTATTGGAGCTCAAAGCAAAAAAAATGGCACGACCAAGGAAGGGTAGCAATGGCTGTTGTGTTCATGTTTGTTCTCTGTTGTTGTGTGAAACATTCAAATGTGTGAATTATTCTTAATAACTGCTACATATAAATTACCCTGGCCATACAAATTACTGTAAAAGTAATTGATTTTACATTGTACATAATTTTGTAATTATTTCATCATTGTATGGATTAAGTGATTGACTTCCACTGTCTTTTATTTTTTCAGACAGGCAGTATGGTCACTTCTCAAAATCTGTAAAAAGTAGGAGTAGTAAGAGTTTAAAACTGGAGGACATCCATGTTTCAAAAAGCAAAATTGGATTTTTAAAAATGCCCCAAATAACATACTACTATTGCATTCATATACTTCATATATTCTAGTCTGAAGTGAAATGTAGCTTTTTTTTACACTATTGGATGGATTGTGCGTCTTTCTAAATTTTATTTTAATGCATTTATTTTGCAGCCTTTCCAGAGCAGATCACTACCAAGCAGCAGTACAGAGTTCTAGGAAACAGCCTTAATGTTGTGGTGGTCACCAAACTGCTGCAGCTGCTCATTTCCTAGCACTTGGGAAACACTGGAGGAGACCATCTTATTTTCCTATAATGTTGGATATTACAGAGACTGTGATAAACTGCATGAAAAAGTCAACTTTTTGCATATGGTGGTGTGCTCCATTTAAAAAAACAAAAAACAAAAACAAAAACACAATATGGTAATGTATTGGATTGTAAGTATTGATATTGTTTAGTTTTTCTTGTTCATTGCAAAAACACCAAATATCGATTTGATTTAGATTTTTTGTGTGTACACTCACTTTGCATTGTGTAAATTGATAAAAAATAAACAATTATTATTTATATTTTTAAAAGCATTCTTAGTTCACAGCATTTTTTCACACCTGCCTAAAACTTTTGCACAGTACTGTGTGTGTGTGTGTGTGTGTGTGTGTGTGTGTGTGTGTGTGTGTGTGTGTGTGTGTGTGTGTGTGTGTGTGTGTGTGTGTGTGTGTGTGTGTGTGTGTGTGTGATATATATTAAAAAAAAAAAAACCTTCCCTCTCACCCTCTTGGGGTAGTATCTGTGTCATCCTCAAGCTCGGGTCCTCTACCAGAGGCCTGGGAGTTTGAGGGTTCTGCACTGTATCTTAGCTGTTCCTAGGACTGCGCTCTTCTGGACTGCGGCTTCTGATGTTGTTCCTGGGATTTGTTGGAGCCACTCCCCCAGTTTGGGGGTCACTGTCCCGAGTGCTCCTACTACCACGGGGACCACGCTCGCCTTGACCTTCCACATCTGCTCCAGCTATTCTTTCAACCCTTGGTACTTTTCAACCTTTTCATGTTCCTTCTTTATGATGTTGGCGTCTGCTGGTATGGCCACATCAGAGGTAGGCCTGATACATTAAGGATCTTGCCCAAGGATCCTCACTGAATGCAGTTCTATTTGCCCCTCACTGGCGGTAGTCCACATCTCTAACCGCTCGACTATATATATATATATATATATATATATATAAAAAGAAAGTGTATAATTCCTTTAGCAGTGTAATGCTTTTTTTTTTTTTTTTACCAAGGTTTGTTAAGTTTTGCATTTATATAGACATTACCCCACATTGTACCCACCCTCTATTCCTCCCCACCTCCCCTGGGCCAAGAGTACTCCCAAACATTGAATTAAAGCTAAACTAAGCAAATAAATAAATACATATCATAATAAAAACAAATAAAATTTAGCCACAAGCGGAAATGACAGATTCTGGCCTTTTGCTTAACAGAAGGAAGTAGCTCAAATTGCCAAAATTAAAGCTCTGCAAAGTTACTTAAGCCAGTTTAATTCTGTTTAAAGGAGTGAAGCCAATTAGACACTCGCTCCATCATCACAGAGCCTGCAGCAGTTCAATAATTGCACACTCAAAGTTTTTTTTGTTTTTTTTACTTTTTGGGGATTTTGGAATGACAAATGGCAAAATAATAGTGGTTATTTTTTAGGAGCCTAGTGGCCTGGTGATCATTAATAATTCTCCTAGCACAGGGGTAGGTAAGCTGTAATTCTGGAGTCACATGTAGCTCTTTGGTCCCTCTCCAGTGGCTCCCTGTGGCTTTAACAAAAAACTATATGGAAATAAATAATGTTTTTTAACATTTTCATTATCATTGTTGTAGACGTAATGTGATTGTGGAAACGTGTAGCCACTCCGGTTATTGGCAGCTCAATAGTCAGAAACGTGAATTTAGCGAAGCCAGCGACCATAGTATCCCTGGGGCCAGAGCGGGCGACATCGAATCATATTTAAAACTGCTGGCTAAAGATAAGTGTAAATATAGTAAGATAGTTATTTACGTCGGCGGTAATGACACCCGAATACGCCAATTGGAGGTCACAAAAATTAATGTGGAGTTGGTGTGTAATTATGCTAAAACTATGTCGGACTCCATAGTTTTTTCTGGACCCCTGCCCTATATGACCAGTGATGACATGTATAGCCACATGTCGTCATTCCACCGCTGGCTGTCGAGGTGGGCTTCATTGATAAGTGGAAGCCTTTTTGGGAAAACCTGGTCTGATGAGGAGAGACGGCATCCATCCCTCTTTGGATGGAGTGGCTCTCTTATCTAGAAATATGGTGAAGTTTATTTCTAAAACTTGACAACCCAGAGTTGGGACCAGGAAGTAGAGCTGTTGTCTTACACACTTCTCTGCACTTCCATTAGAACAGTCACCCACCCAAAACCCCATAGAGACTGTGTCTGTCCCCCGACCACCTAAATTATTTAAAGAAATAAAAACAAGAGGAGTTCAACATAAAAATCTAATAAAAATTAAAACTAACTCCTCAGTAGCACAAAATAAGAGAATGAAATGTGGACTGTTAAATATCAGGTCTCTATCCTCTAAAGCTGTTCTAGTTAATGAATTAATATCAGATTATGATATTGATTTACTTTGTCTTACTGAGACCTGGTTGTCCCACGAGGAGTATATTAGCCTAAATGAATCCCCCCCGAGTCATATTAATACTCAGATTCCTCGAGGCACTGGCCGAGGAGGTGGAGTAGCAGCCATATATGATTCAAGCGTTTTAATTGACCCTAAACCTAAACTAAATTATAATTCATTTGAAAGCCTTGTTCTTAGTCTTTCTCACCCTGGACCGTACTCTGATTTTCTATCTGAATTCTCAGAGTTTTTATCAAGTTTAGTCCTTAAATCAGATAAAGTAATTATTGTAGGTGATTTTAATATTCATGTGGATGTTAACAATGACAGCCTTAGTAACGCATTTATATCATTAATTGACTCAATTGGCTTCTGTCAGAGTGTAAATAAACCAACTAATTGTTTTAATCACACTCTTGACCTCGTTCTATCATGGCGTTGATATTAAACATGTAATTGTCTTCCCACAAAATCCTTTTCTATCTGACCATTATTTAATAACTTTTGAATTCATATTACTAGATTATAAGCCATTAGGCAAAACTTCCTACAGCAGATCTGACAGTGTTGTAGCTAAATTTATTTCCATTCCATCAATGTTTAATTCAATGCCATGTCTGAAT